TGGCTCCCAGCCCCCCCTGCTCTAACCCACCACCCCCCCCCCCCCTCCCAGAGCCGGGGAGAGAACCCAGGAGTCCTGGCTCCCAGCCCCCCCTGCTCTAACCCACCACCCCCCCCCCCCCTCCCAGAGCCGGGGAGAGAACCCAGGAGTCCTGGCTCCCAGCCCCCCCTGCTCTAACCACTAGGCCCCACTCCCTCCCAGAGCCGGGGAGAGAACCCAGGAGTCCGGGCTCCCATCCCCCCTGCTCTAACCACCAGCCCCCACTTCCCTCCCAGACCCGGGGAGAGAACCCAGGAGTCCTAGCTCCCAGCCCCCCCTGCTCTAACCCACCAGCCCCCACCTGCCCTCCCAGAGCCAGGGAGAGAACCCAGGCGTCCTGGGCTGCCCGGACTCACCCGCTTTCAGCACCTGGAGCCACGTCCCGTTCCCCGCCCCCTCGCCCAGGGTGGGGATCTTCACCAGGCAGCGGTAGGTCCCGGTGTCGTAGGGTCTCAGCTCCCGCAGCTCCACGTCGGCTCTCCGCTCCCGCAGGAAGCTCTGGTCCTGGGCCCGGCTCACCCGGCCCCTGAACTCCTGGGTCCCGTCGCTCAGCTCCAGCCGGGCACCCGCCACCTCCTTCACCCAGGTGTAGCTGCCCAGCCGGGGCTCCCGGGTGCTGTTGTAGAAGCAGGGCAAGGTGACGGAGCCGCCCTCGGTGCCCTGCACGGAGCCGGGCTGGGAAACCCACAGGTCCTGCGCCCAGGAACCTGGCGGATCAAAGGCCAAGGGTCAGCAGGACGGGCAACCCCCCTCCCCTCCCAGAGCCAGGGAGAGAACCCAGGAGTCCTGGCTCCCAGCCCCCCCTGCTCTAACCCACCAGCCCCCACTCCCCTCCCAGAGCCGGGGAGGGAACCCAGGAGTCCTGGCTCCCAGCCCCCCTGCTCTAACCCACCAGCCCCCCTCCCTTCCCAGAGCCAGGGAGGGAACGCCGAGGGGGTTGGCCAAAGGCGATTGTCCAAGCGCCCGGCCTCCCTTGCCCACTTCACTCGCATTTCTTAGGGGCGACGCTAAGTAGACACAACATTCGGCCCTCGAGCCTGGTCTCCCCCAGCACTGAATTGCACCCATCTGCCACCGGCTGGTCCTTGGCCAACGCGGCTTCGAGGACGGCCTCCAGGTTGGAGTTGGACAACCCACTGCTTCCCTCGGTGGGTCTTTCCAATGGCCCATCCCTCTCACTCCGAAACATTGGAGCCTTATGTCTAATGGGAACGCATCTGGCTTTCATTTCCCCCTTCGGGCCTTGGGCAGCCCTTCTCCGGTGGGAGAAAGAGCCGTTCGGGGCCGCGTATCTCGCCCTGAGAGGGTCCCCTCTGGGTCTTCGGCCGGGGGCGCTGAACGGATGGAGCTCCTTACGTCTCCCTCTCTCCAGCGTTTCTCCCACCCTCCAACTGCTCGTGTGGCGGCCGTCTCTAAGGTCTCCACATCTGGGTCTTGTCGGACAATCCCCAGCCGTGAGGTGCAGGGTCCGAGCGCTGCCCAATCCACCACGGCCGTCGGGAAGCTGCTCCGACGGTTAATTACCCCTCGACTGTTAGTCGGGTTCCCGGTCTGAATTTGTCTGGCTTTAGCTTGGATCTTGTTCAGCTCTTGTCTGCCGGACGGAGGAGCCCTCGAATATCAGAAATCTTCTCCCTCCATCGTCGCCTTCCCTCGGGTAAAGCCAGGTTTAACGCCCGGCTTTGGTCCTTAACGTATTCTCCACATTAAGCGCACAAGACGCTCCCGTGATGTTGTTGCCAATCCTGGCGATTTTATCCCCATAGCTGTTGTTTTTCCGCAGCTCCTGCTCTCGGTGTTGTGTGGATACGTCACACGTTCAGCTTTTGTTTACCAAAAAACCCCAAAAACGGTTTCTAGCCCTTTGGGTTGTGGAGAAAACCCAGCGAACACGACTGCGAAAATATCTATTTTTTCCCCAATGGAAAATCTTCGACGGGAACAGAAACGCTTTGCTTGGGCCTCGTTCAGGTTTGCGGCATTCGCAACAAACGAGGGGTTCCTGGCTGAGAACCCGCAAATCTGGGCTGAGAATTTAATGTAACGGAAAAGCCTTTTCCCACCGAAAACCTTTTTGATGGAAGGTTTTTATGGAACCTTGCGGCTTGGAAAAGGAGAGGCAAAGACAGACAACTTCCAGGTGGATTATTTTTTACAACCGGGATTTTTTCAAAGTCCATCTCGTGATTCACGGCGGAGCCTGACTTGTGCTTGCACATTGGAATTGGCCACTTAAAAAACCAGGGTTATTAACCAGCTCCGTTGGAAGCAGCTTCGCTTGCTCACGGCTCTTATCACGCAAACACTGAGGCATAATCTTCAATTTAACAGCACAATTTGCCCCGTCGAATTCAGTCTGCAGCATTGCTAACCCCGGCCACGATTTAACCCCCCCAAAAACTCATGAGATTTGCCTAAAATTCACAAGATTTAGGGGGGGAAAGAGGAAATCTTTGTCTTTCTACCTTTTGCAGATTCAGAATTCCCAGTTTTGAATGTTTCTCCACAATACAAAATGCTGGGAACTTGCTGGGTTTTTATAAAAGAAAAACGGACCGTTCCCTGCAGACCTGCAGAAGCCGGAGCGTTCAGGAAAACACCGAATAGCGTCAAAACCAAATCGTGAGCTGGCAAATTGAGACTAAAAATGGTGATTTCTTTGCAGCCCTGAAAACTGGCAGAGGAGAATTGTTCGTTTCCGGCAAGATGGTTCCATTTCTCATTCAGTGACTGTCGTCGGTCAAAACCCAAGAAAATGGGGATTAAATAAAGATGAAAGAATCCAGATTAGATTAAGATTAAGTCACGCAGGCTGGATTCTGCAAACGCGGGCTCATGGGGCTAACATTAGACTTGGTCCGTCTTTTCCAGGCACGTTTTAGAGGAATCATTTGGGGGGCTTTGTCAACTTCTGTTGCTTTTTATCCCCACCCCGAAAACATCTGGTTTCCAAAATGAAAAACCTTGTTCAGAAAAAGGGATTTTCCAGGGACATTTTTCGGTGGACAATGTTGGGGGTTTCAAAACTGGGGGGGTGGGAATGTTGGGTTTTTCATCAAACCCTTTTACAGAATTATTTGGGGTTTTCTTGGTTTTGGAAACAGCCAAGGGAATATTTAAGCGGCTTTGGGCAATTTTCACTGCTTGGTGAGGTGGGTCGGTTCATTTTTTCCCTAGATTCCTTGAGGAAACATTCTGGGGGGTTTCCACCCAAAACACAACGCCCTGAATGCCCTGAGGGCCTCGGCAGCGTCTCCCAGTCAGTCCCGTAACAGCTCTTACCTCGCCCGGTATGTCTGACTTTGAAAAAGCCAAATATGATTTTGGGGGAGCAAAAAAAGAGGGAAATATCAAAAAAACAATGAGATGAAAACCAGAAAAATGGGAGTTTTTTTGGTCTCTTTTCGCCGGGCTCCACGTGTCAGTGGCGGCCGCGCCGGGACCCACTCGGGGTGTCCCGGGGGGGTAGAGCGGCTGGGAGGGGTCACGTCAGGGAGGGCGACTTCCCTGCGGACGGGGCTCTGGCGAGATCGTAGCCGGGATGATGCCGGGCCGGGGGTCCTGGCTCCAACGGGCCGATGGAGCGATGGGCCGGGCACGGGCGGAGGGGAGTGGGGGAGGGATGGACAGAAGGGGGGAGGTGAAGCGATAACCCAGGAGGGGATCAGGGGAATTCCCCGCACCCGGGGCGAGGGAAGGGATGATTGTACCCCGGGCCCATCCCTGGCTGCAGGACCCCTGGGCGGGGGGCAGGAGGGGCAGGGCCCCCTTACCGGACCAGCTGAGCAGGCAAACGCAGAGGCGGTGCAGAGCCATGGCGCCGGGGGCTGCAGGGGTCCTGGAGTGAGATCCCGACCCCGACCCCGCGGGGCGGCAGGATCCAGGCAGCCCCCACCGGACGTGAGTCACAGAAACCAGAGCGAGCGGGGCCCAGAGAGCGACGCCTCCGCTGGGCCGGAAACCTCCCCCCGGGCCAGGCCCCCTCTGCCCCGGCCCTGCCGGTGCCCCTCACTCCCGACCCGCACGCCCCTCGCCCCCCCACAGGCCTCGCCCCCCCCAGCTCTGCCGGTGCCCCTCACCTCCCGACCCGCACGCCCCTCGCCCCCCCACAGGCCTCGCCCCCCCCAGCTCTGCCGGTGCCCCTCACCTCCCGACCCGCACGCCCCTCG